GATCACTGAACTGGTGTCTGTGTCTAAGTCTCTGTTTCTTTGTTATTTTCATATGTTGCTGTCAGTTTTATATCTTACATATGACTGAAATTACATAGTTCTTAACTTTTTCTCTCTGACTTATCTCTTTTAGTATGATTATCTCAACACACATGGCTGTTATATTCCATTCTATATATGTACCACAGTTGCTTTATCCAGTCATTTATCAAAGGATACTTCAGTTGCTTCCCTGTCTTGGCCTTATATATTGGTAATGCTGCAGTAAAAGTTGGGGAGTATATATCTTATATACATAAATGTTTTCAAATTTTTTAAGTAGCTACCCAGGAGAGAGATTGATAGATCATATGGTAATTCTAGTCTTAGTTGTTTGAGGCACCTCCATACTGTTTTCCATAGTGGCTATACCAATTTGCAGTCCCACCACAGTGTATAGGGTTCCTTTTTCTCCACATCTTCTCCAACATTTGTTATTACTTGTCCTGTTGTTGACAGCCATTCCCACATGAGCAAGGTGGTAATCTCATTGTGGTTGTGATTTGCCTTTCCCTAATAGCTAATGAGGGTATCTTTTCACATGACTCTTGGCCATTTATGTGTCTTCTTGGGAAGCGTCTGTTCAAGTCCTCTGCGCATTTCTTTTATTGACTTGTTGGGGTTTTTTGGTTGTTATATGAGTTCTTTGTATATTTTGGATATTAGTCCTTTATTAAAGACTATTTGCAGATATCTTCTACCATTCAGATGGTCACCTCTCTGTTTTATTGATGGTTTCTTTTGCTCTGTAGAGGCTTTTTAGTTTGCTACAGTATCATTCATTTATTTTTCCTTTTACTTCCCTTGCCTTTGAGGTCGAATAGACAAATTCCTCTCTCAAACCAAGGTCCATGATTTTAGTCCCTATGCTTTCTTCAGTGCATTTTATTGTTTCAGTTCTTATATTCAGGTCTTTGATTCATTTTGAGTTAATTTTGTTGTATAGTTACAACAGTCTAGTTTCATTCTTTTGCAGGTGACTTTTTTCCACCACCATTTATTGAAGAGATTTTTCTTTCTCCATTGTATGTTTTTGGCTCTTTTATTGAAAATTATTTGCATACATACATGGTGGTTTAGTTCTGGACTCAGTTCTGTTCCACTGGTCTGTGTGTCTACTTTCTGCCAACACCATGCTATTTGGTCACTTTGTAATAAATTTAAAGTTGGGCAGAGTGATAACTCCAACATTTTTTTTTTTTTCTCAGAATTGCTTTGACAATTTGAGATCTTTTGTAATTCCATACAAATCTGATGACTTTTTGTTCTGTTTCTTTTAAAACTGCCATTGGGTTTTTCATGCAGATTGCATTAAACAATGCATATAGTTTTGGTTAATAAAGTTATTTTAACTATGTCAGTTTTTCCAAACCATGAACACAGAATGTCTTTCTATTTCTTTGTGTCCTCAGTTTCTTTTAGTAATGTCTTAGGGTGTTCAGTGTATTGGTGTTCACATACTTCATTAGGTTAATTTCTTGGTATTTTCTTTTTGTTGCAGTTACAAAAGTAACTTTATTTCTTTTTATAAAAATTCATTGTTAGAGTATAAGAACACTGTCTATTTATGTATATTGATTTTGTATCTTATAACTTTATTGTACTTGTCTATTATTTCTAATAGTTTTTAGAGTTTTCCATATAGAGAATTATGTCATCTGCAAAGAGTTACTATTTTGAGTTTTTCATTCCCTATTTGGATGCCTTTTATTTCTTTCTTGCCTGATCATTCTAACACTTTATTGAATAATAGGGTAAGACGGGTCAGCTTTGTCTTTTTCCTAATCTCAGAAGAAAAGTTTTGTTTTTCACCATTAAACATGGTCTTTACTATGTTGAGGTACTTTTCTTCTCTTCCCATATTATTAAGCGTTGTAATCATAAATGGATGCTGTATCTGTCAAATGCTTTTTCTACATCTACTGATATGATCAGATGGTTTGTATTCTTTATTTTGTTTATGTGGTATATCACATTGATCAATTTACATATGTTAAACCATACCTGTGCCCTAGAATGAAGCTCACTTGGTCATAGTGTATACTCTTTTTAATGTATTGTTATATTCAATTTACTAATATTTTTAGGATTTTTATATCTGTATTTATCAGAGATACTGGTCTATAGTTTTTTTGTGTGTGTTTTCTTTACCAGGTGTTGGTATCAGGGTAATGTTGGCTTCATAAAATGAATTAGGAAGTATTCTTTAATTTTTTGGAAAAGTTTGAGAAGAACTGGTTTTAAATCGCCTTTGAATGTTTGGTAGAATTCACTGGTAAAGGCATCTCATCCTAGACTTTCACTTTGGGGAAGTTTTGATAATTGTTTTAATTTCCATACTGTTGATCAGTGTGCTTAGATTTTTCTAGATCTTCACTATTCAGTCTGGGAAGTCTGTATATTTCTAAGAACCTATCCATTTTTCTAGGTTATTAAACTTTGTATAATTGTTCATAGTATTCTTTTTTTCTTTTTCTTTTTATTTAGACAAGGCAACCCTTGGTTGACCTCACAGACTGCAAGGACTTTGTCACCTAACAATCCCTTATTTTTTATTTTTATGCCTACAGCACCTGGTCTTCCTAGGTGGTCTCTCATCCATGCTCAACCCTGCTTAGCTGCTGAGATCAGACAAGATCAGGCTTGTTAAGTGTTACATGGCTATAGACTTTTGCATAGTATTCTTGTATAATCTTTTGTATTTCTGCAGTATTTGTTGTAACTTCTCTTTCATTTCTGATTTTGTGTATATGTGTCCTTTCTGTTTTTTCTTTAGTGAGTCTAGGCTGCGCTTTGTCCATTTTATTAATCTTTCAAAGAACCATCTCTTTGTTGCATTAATTTTTTCTATTGTCTTCCTGTTTTCAATTTTATTTAATTCTGCTGTAATTTTTATTATTTTCTTCTGCTGGCTTTAAGCTTCATTTGTCTTTTTTCTAATTTTTTTTAAGATGTAATGTTCATTTGTTTATTTGGGATCATTCTTGTTTCTTGAGATATGACTCTGATGATATGAACTTTCCGATTATTACCACTGTTGCTGTGTACCAAAAGTTATGATATGTTGTACTTTTATTCTTGTTTCCTTATGTGTATCTCTTGACCTCACCTTTTATTTATTCTATGACCCAATTCTTAAGTAAGATGTTGTTTAATCTCCATATATATGTGGTTCTGCTTTCTTTTCACAGTTGATTTCCAGCCTCAGAAAAAATGGTTAATATGATTTCAACCTTCTATTTGCTGAGGCTATCTCTGTGTCTCAGTATGTGGTCAGCCCTTGAGAATGTTCCATGTGTCCTAGAGAAGAATGTATAAGCAGCCGTTTAGGATGAAAAGCTCTGTAAATGTCAATTAAGTCCAGTTGGTGTAATGTGTCTTTTAAGGTTGACATTATTAATATTCTCTTTGGATGATCTGGCTATAGCTGAATATTTAGGCATCTCTTATAATTGTGTTTCAGTCCATTTCTCCTTTAGTTCTGTTAGTGGTTATTTTATATATATTTGATGCTCCGTGATTGGGAGTATATATATTGATAAGTGTTAGGTCTTCATTACAAAGTGTCCATCACTGTTTCTCATTACCTTTTTTATCTTAAAGTCTATTTTGTCAGATACAAGTACAGCTCCACTGCATTTCTCTAGATAAACATTTGCTTGGAAAATCATTTTTCAGCCTTTTACATATTTCTATGTCTGTGAGCTTGTTTTCTGGAGATTTATTACTTTTTTTCATAAGCTTCCTTGTCACTTTCGTTGTTCATGGTGTTTGAAGGACTCTTTCCTGCCTGGACATTAAGCAATGTCCCCTTCTGATGCCCTGATATGCCAGTCTCTCCTACATACTTGTGGGCAGGTTTACTGTTATTTGTTGGGATGTGATTCTTGAAGGCAGTGTATGGTTTTTGTTGTTGTTGTTGTTGTTGTTGTTTTATCTAATTTGTACTATATGCCTTTCTGTTGGTGAATTCAGACCATTTACATTTAGAGTAATTATTGAAATAATCTCTATGGCCATTTTATCTTTTGATTTCTAGTAGCTTGGTGTCTTTGTTGTTTTCTTGTCCTTGTGTGTCTTTCTGTTATTTTAATTTGTAGCATTTTATGTTTTTTTTTTTCTGTTACCTCTTATTTTATATTACATGTCTCAGTTCTGGATATTTTATGTGTGGTTACCATTAAGTTTTTGTAAATGAAATTTTTATATATACAGTAGTCCTTTTTCTTCTGCATGCATCTTATCTACATTCTGCTTTGCAGGTTTGGACCTTTACTCCATTCCTTTTTCTGTTTTTGTTGTCTTGAATTATTTGTATTTATGCTATTAGTCCATTTCTAAGTAGCAGTAGCTATAGTCTTTTTTTTTTTTAAGTTTTTCTTTAATCTTTAGCTGTTATAAAATATCTAAGCTTATCTCTTCTTAATAACGGTTGCACTCTCTTGCTTTTGTTAGTCATCTTATAGTTTTGTCCTGTTGTTTCAAATAGAATGACCTCCTTCATTATTTTCTTTGATGTAGGCCTTTTGTATGTCTGAAAAAGTCTTTATTTCTCCTTCATTTCTACAGGAAAAGTTTTTTATGTATATTGTTTTCTTCTGGTAGTTTATTTCAAGCATTTGAATATTTGATTTCACGCCCTCCCTGCTTGTAAGGTTTGTGCTAAGAAGTACGATGATAATCTAATGAGTTTTCCTTATGAGGTACTGTATTATTTTCCATGGTACCTTAAGATTATTTTTTAAATTAGTTTTTACAATTTTAATATAATGTCTTAGAGAAGGACTTATTGGGTTGAGATATTTAGGTATTCTGTTTACTTCTTGGATTTGAGGATCCAGTTCTTGCCATAGTTTTGGAAATTCTCGTTAACTATTTGTTTGAATAGTCTCTCTGTTCCTTACTCCCTCTCTTCTCTTTCTGGTATACTTGTTATTCGTTTATTGCTCTTTCTCTTGGTGTCAGATAGTTCTTGAAGTTCTTTAATTTTTTTATTCTCAAGTCTTTCTTCTACTTACTGCATCATTTCCAGATTTCTATTTTTGACATGATTAATTCTTTTCTCCATCTGGTCAGCTCAATTTCCTAGGCTTGCTATTTCATTCTTCATCTGTTTTAATAAGTTCTTCACCTGTAATAGTTCTGCTTGGTTCTTTTTTAGAGTTTCAATTTTCTTTTAAAGTATTCCAGTTACTCATTGATTTTGTTTCTAAGTTCTTTGAACTATTAATCAGAATTCTCTTGCACCTGTTGAGTTTTTTAAAACATGAAATTTTGATTCGTCTTTCATTTAAATCACATATTTCTATGTATTTGAGCTTGTTTTCTGGAGACTTATCACTTTTTTTCATGAGCTTCCTTGTCACCTTCGTTGTTCATGGTGTTTGACAGATTGTTTCTCTACTTAGACTTGAAGGAGTATCCCCTTCTCATGCCCTGATATGCCAATCTCTCTTACGTACTTGTGTGCAGGTTTAGTGTTATTTGTTGGGATGCAGATTTTCAGCTCCTTATAGTTTCAAGGGGAGAGGTTAAGGGTGATTCTCATTCCACCATGCTCCTTACTTTGCTCCATAATGGAGATGATTTAAATGCATACAAATAAATTTAAAAAGCCACTCTGATATTTCTACATACCATGTGATTTCACTTAAAATATATTATAGAAAGGCAAAACTATATAAAACAAAAAATAGTAGTTGCCAGAATTTAGGGTGAAGGAGAGATAAATAGACAGAGCACAGAGGATTTTGCAGTCAGTGAAACCATTCCATTTCATATTAAAATAGTAGGTACATATCATACATTTGTCAAGACCTTCTGAATGCACACCAAAAAATGAACTCTAACGTAAACTGTGGACATGGGATAATACTGTAGGTTCATTTATCCTAACAAATATAACAGACTAGTGCAGGACAGATAGTTGTGGATATTGTATTTGTGTGAATAGGCAGTATGTGTGAATTTTTTGTTCTTCCTATTCAGTTTTGCTGTGAACCTAAAACTGCTCTAATATAAAAGCTTATTACTTTAAAAATATGAATGAATGACCTATGCTTTGGGAAGAGATTAGTAAAATCAGAGAAATTGGCTATAATTTAAAAGTTCTTTTGACTCACTGATACATGGTTTCCACTTTGTTCACATTCTTTTCCTTATCTGGGTTTGATCAGGTATCTGATTTCCCTCTCAGGAGCTCTGGCTATTGTTAATGCGGTGCCCTGCTTTGCTTTGGATGGACAGTGGATTTTAAACTCTTTCCTGGATGCTACCCTTACCTCAGTGACTGCAGACAATGATGTCAAAGATCTGATAGGGTTTTTTATCTTGCTTGGTGGCAGTGTACTTTTGGCTGCCAATGTGACCCTGGGACTCTGGTTGGTTACAGCACGCTAATATTTGCACTAATCTGATGGAATCTCTTGAATTACAATATACTGCTGTATTATAATATTTAATGCCACTCAACACTTTACTGGCACGAAATATAAAAGATTACTTAAAATTACATTTTAGCCGACAACTTTGAGCTCCATTTGTATTCAGAATATCCAAACTTTGGTGTGGGAGATAACCAAAAGAAATGAAAGTCGTAGTTACTACTTTCTAGTTTTAAAGAGTGAACATAGATATATTAAATGCTTGTGGAACAATTTATAAACAAGTAAAAGTAATGTAATACCATTTTGTGTGACTACATATTGTGTTAAAATAGTATAGAAGAAAAGAAAATTGGGTGGAATTAATCAGGAAAAACATTTTTGAAAGGATCATTAATCAGGATTTGGAGGAGACCAGACTTAAGCCAAGTAGGATAGTGAGCATTTTCTTGGCCTGTCTCTTGGTCTTTATCTTCTTTGAAAACTATTTTTAAACTTGATCGTGTATTGTTTTCTGCTCAAAAAACTGAAGCCTGATTACAAATAAATTAATAAAATATTTGCTAACATGAAACAAATTATTTGCCAAATGATGTGAAATAAATGAATAAAATAGGAAATAAGACCTATGATGTCAAGACATGTTTTACCCAACAATAGTTGCCTCTTTGTTATGTGCTTTCTGTAGTGTCATAAAGCAGTGTTAGTCCTGATAGTCACAATAAACTGCATGAAGTGTCTCATACCTGCAGTATGTGAGAAAATGGACCTAAAGTTGAACAGTAGAAGTAAGTCAGATCTTCAGAAAGGGCACAAATGTGTCCCTTCAGCATTCCTTGCTACCATTTTCCATACAGCTTTGAGGCTGTAAAACTTTCCACCTTGGACATTTTCTTTTGCGCTACTAAGGCCATATGAGGCCTGATTCCTACATTCCTGATTAAAGAAATAAGAATCTTAGGCCTTGAGCTATGTTCTGTCCTTTGTTGCTACCCTGTTTTGCTGTGCCAGATAATAAAACACCAGGTCTTTGCCTTTCATACTTCCCTTAAGCTACTTCTGAGGGTCCATGCAAGATTTTGTAGTATAATGAGAATGTTATACATGAGCACAAACATTTTCCAGATCCTGTGATCAGACTCAAGCCTGAAAGAATCCCACCTGGTTCAAGATCTCTTAGACCTGAGATACAACTATAGGAATTTGAGAAATCAGTAAGCCAGTAGAAAGAAATCAGCCTTAGAAATATATTAATATGCTATTTCTGTGATGAAGAATACATGCTACTTTTATACCCTAAAAGTAACTTCACTATGTTACAGACATTGGAGTTAACCTTTTTCAGAACATTGAGTTTTTTCAAGCACTAAAACTCATTATCTTTAATAATATCCTTTTAGATTTTAGTACAGAGTCGGATAGGTGGATGAATGGATGAATGGATGGATGAATAGGTAGATAAATATGGATCTGTATAAAATTATATTTATGTATAATTTTAACATTTTATTAAAGCAGTTAAAACCAGGACTGAAACTAGCCAAATTATTGATTTATCTAAGGAAAATAGGCATTTGTCATATTCTTAGTCATTATGGATCTCATATTAATAGCATAATAATTTTCAGATTTCTTCAGATATGTTCAGATATATAAGAAAAGCATCAAAAAAGAAAAGAAATATGTATCTCTTTGTGCATCAGGGACCAGCTTTGCATATCTGCTACAGTTCATGAGGTGTAAGTTCTTAATAAGTGTGGTTGTATTCATGATGATTAGTATTATTTATTAAATAGAAAAGTATGTTTCTTTTTGAGTAAACTATAAAATTATTATTCAATATTTATTGTAAATGTATAACAAAAAATAATTTGGAAAGTCTTTGGGGCCCTGTTGTATTCTTTATTGAAATTGTTTTGGTTTCTGTAGAGCAGTTGGAAAAATAGTTTTGAAGACTTAAGAAAGTGTTACTAACAGTTAAACTGTATTCTCAGTGTTCCTCCTCTATGCTGTTTACATTTTACCTCCAGGCTACAAAGAATGTATATATTCTTTTCAGCATTTCAGTTTGCAAAGACTTATAGTTAAACTTGACTTTTTGATAATTGCTCTTATAGGTCATTGTCCTAAGAGTAAGCTGTATATATGTGCTTTCTGGATATGTGGCTCTCAGTCATTTGTCCGTAGATATTTATTTGAATATCCACATACTAATGGTACACAACTTTATTTTTCTATGTATCATTTGACTGTGCTGTAGTTCAGTCTTAACTTCAGCTTTAACTTGAAGATATCTTAATTATTAAATTTGTTGCCAATAAGGAAATAAACGTGTTCCAGAATCTTAGCTTTACTATTATCAGTATTTTTTTGTGCCTTTTAAAATTTGTACATTATTGATTTCTTTGTTTTACTTACAGTAACATCTTAATTACTTATGCATTGCTAATTCTAAAAGTAGCATTCAGCTTTCATTTAAGAAATTCTACTTAAAAGTGTGTTTGTCCAAGAAAAATATTTTTTTTTAAATGATATTTATGTGCTCTAACTACTATTTAGGAAATGGCCTATTTATGAGAGGACTGTTATTTTTCCTTTTTATTTGTGCCTGAGAGAGATCTTTTGTAAGTTAGTGTTTGTTTTGGGAACTCTCAAATAAATAGGTTAAGTAAGGAAAGTCAATAAGTAATTAAAGTATTTTAACTATTATACTCATTAACTTCTGGTCTAGAACTAGAAGTTTACTCTACAAACACATATTCTCTCTCTGTTGCAAAGAATATCAATACAGTTAAAATAGGCTGATAATTTAGCACATATCCTGATACATTAACCTGTTTTCCCCCTTTTGTTCTCTGATTTCATTATACTACAGTTGGGAACAAGAATAGTAGATAATATAAATTGTTTTTTTATTTCTTTTTAATTTTGATCAAACTTCCAGTACATGTGTGCTTTAGTAAAATTTAAGTCTTTGAGTAAATGAGCATGTAATTTAAAAAAGTGGGAAGAGAGAATATATTTTTTAATAACCATATTGTATAGATGTAGATGTGAACAAAATCAACTCTTGGCCTAGACTTCTTTCAAGCTCGGACATTTCACTAATACCACTCATTAGCAAGCATATCAAAGCTTTTTAGTTAATGATTATCTACCTCCTTAAAATGTAGTGACATTATTAGTTATAGCCAGAATGTCATGACAACCAAGATCAATACCAAATTAATGATAGTATCGATCATAACTAATCTATAACAAGACCACCAGAAGATATGGAACCTGTCTATACTTCATTCTTTGTCCTTCTGACTTGTTATTCATTAGTATCTGTGTTAAACTATTAAAAGAACTACTGCAATGGGTTTGTTATCAGTGCAGAATTGTTGGATCATCTGTTTCTCCCTGACACAATCTCCCCATAAAATGACATTCTAACTTTTTCATTGCCTATTTGGATGCCTTTTGTTTCTTTCTTTTGCCTGATTGCACTTGCTAAGACCTCCAATACTATATTGAATAACAGTGGTGACAGTGGACAGCCTTACCTTTTTCCTGATCTTAGAAGGAAGGTTTTTAGTTTTTTACCATTAAATGTGATATTACCTGAGGGTTTGTCATATATGGGCTTTACTATGTTGATGTATCTGTTTTTTTAAGTGTTTTCATTATAAATCGTTGCTGTGTTTTGTCAAATGCTTTTTCCACATCTCTTGACATAAACATTATTTCAATAGTGCTCTACCAGTTTCTGGTACAATTATGTTTGTCTCTCTCTGACTTATTTCACTAAGCATAATACCCTCTAGGTCCATCCATGCTGTTGCAAAAGGTAAGATTTCATTCTTTTTATGGCCAAGTAATATTCCATTGTATATATGTACTATAATTTTTTTTTATACAGTTGTCTGTTGATAGGCACTTAGGTTGCTTCCATATATTCACTATTATAAATAATGCTGCAATGAACATAGGGACGCATATATCTTTTCAAATTAGGGTTTTGATTTTGCCAGATAAATACCCAGAAGTAGAATTGCTGGATCATAAGGCAGTTCTATTTTTTCTATTTACTTTTTGAGAAAACTTCAAACTATTTTCCATAATGGCTGCACCGATTTGCAAAATGAACAAGTGTTCCCTCTTCTCCACATCCTCTCCAACACTTTTCATTTGTTGATTTCCTCATGATGTTTATTCTGAGAAAGTGTGATGATTCTCATTGTGGTTTTAATTTGCATTTCTCTGATAATTGGTGATGTCGAGCATTTATCATATATCTGTTGGTCATTTGTATGTCCTCTTTAGAGAAATGTCTGTTGAGGTCCTCTGCCTATTTTTTAATTGAATTTTTTTGGGGGTGTTGAGTTGTATGAGTTCTTTATAAGTTTTGAATATTAACCCGTTATTGAATGTATTATTGGTGAATATCTTCTCCCATTCAATAGGTTGTATATTTGTTTCAGCAATGGTTTTCTTTGCTGTTGAAAAACTATTTAGTTTGGTGTAGTCACATTTGTTTATTTTTTCTTTTGTTTACTTTGCTGAAGGAGATGTATTGGAAAAATATGAGTAATTTTAGTCATATTTTTAGTCAAATCAGAGAGTTTACTGCCTATTTTTTCTTCTATTTTTTATGGTTGGGTGTCTTTTATTTAACTATTTAATCCACTTCGAGTTTATTCTTGTATATATGTAAGAAGAGGGTCCAGTTTCTCTAATTTTTTTTGACATATTTTTTCAGTATTCCCAGTGCCATTTATTGAATAGACTATCTTTACTCCACTGTATATTCTTGTTCAAATGTCACAGATTAATTGACCATGTTGGCATGGATTTATTTCTGGGCTCTCAGTTCTCTACCATAGATCTATGTGTCTGTTTTTATGCCACTTCCATGTTGTTTTGATTACTATGGCCTAGGAGTATGGTTTGATATCAGCATGCACGACTCCTCTAACTTTGTTGTTTCTCAAGATTGCTGTGGTTATTCAGGGTCTTTCATGGTTTCATTTTAGAATTAAATTTTAGGATTAAAATTCTGGTAAATTTCAGGATTATTTGTGTGAGTACTCTGAAAAATGTCATTGCTATTTTGATAGGAATTGCATTAAATCTATGGGTTATTTTGGATAATATGGACATTTTAATAATTATTGTTCCTATTTATGAGCATGGATATGCTTCAATTTATTTGAACTTTCTGTTTCTTCAGTGTCTTATAATTTTTTGAATACATATCTTTTATCTACTTGACTAAATTTATTTTTATGTATTTTTAATGCAATTGTAAATAGAACTGTTTCTTATTTCTCTTTCTGATAATTCATGATGATGTATAAAACTAAAGCTGATTTCTGAATATTAATTTTGTATCCTGCTACTGAATTTATTTCTCAGTTTTTCTAGTTTATTGATGGAATCTTTGGGTTTCTCTCTTTATAGCATCATGTTATCTGTAAATAACAGTTTTACTTGTTGCTTCCTAGTTTGGATGCCTTTATTTCTTTTTCTTGCCTGATTGCTATGACCAGGACTTTCAATACTGTGACAAATAAAAGTGGTAAAAGTGTACATCCTTGTCTTATTCCTCATCTTAAGGAAAATGCTTTTAGCTTTTCCTCATTGAGTGTAATGTTGGCTCTGAGTTTGTCTTATAAATAGGCCTTTTTTATGTTGAGGTATGTTCCCTCTATTCCCACTTTGTTGACAGTTTTTGTCATAAACTGGTACTCGATTTTCTCAAACATCTTTTCTGCATCTGTTGATATGTTCGCTTTTTATATTTCATTTTCTTTGTGTGGTGTATCATATTAATTGATTTGTGGATATTGAAGCAAACTTACCCTCAGATAATCAAAAAATCCCAGTTGATCAAGGTAAATTATCTTTTCAATGTATTTCTAAATTCGACTTGCTGATATTTTGTTGAGGATTCATCAGAGATATTGGGCTATAAATTAAATATTTTTAATGTCTTTGGTTTGAAACCACTGTAAGAGTAGCCTCATCAAACAAGCTTGGGAAACCTTCCTCCTCTCGAATTTCTTGGAATAGGTTGAGAATAAAATGTATTAACACTTCCTTAAATATTCAGAAAAGTTCCCTCATAAAGCTATTCAGTCCAAGACTTTTGTTGGAAGTTTTTAACTGATTCGATTTTGTTAGTTGTAATCAGTTGGTTCCGATTGTTTCTTTTTGACTCAGTCTTAGGAGATTGTTTCTAGGAACATATTCATTTGTTTCAGATTGTCCAATTTGTTGGCATATAATTGCTCATAGTATTTTTTTATAATCCATTGTATTTCTGTGGCGTCACTTCTCACATCTTCATTTCTAATTTTATTTATTTGGTGCTCTTTATTTCTTGATGAGTCTGGTTAAAGATTTATCTATTTTTGTCATTATTTTTCAAATAACCAGCTCTGGGTTTCACCGATCTTTCGTATTGTTTTTCTAGACTCTATGTTGTTTATTTCCATTCTAATCTTTATTATTTCCTCTCTTCTACTTACATGGAGCTTTGTTGTTTCTTAAGATTAAATTGTTCATTTGAGATTTTTCTAATGTCTTGGCATAAATCTATACTGCTATTAATTTTTCTCTTAGAACTGCTTTCACTGTGTCTCATAGATTTGGGGTTATTGTGTTAATATTTTCATTTGCTTCAAGGTATCTTTTGATTTTTTCCCTGATGTTATTGTTAACCCATTCATTGTTTAGCACTGAGTTATTTAGCCTCCATATGTTTGTATGCTTTTCAGTTTGTTTTTTTTTCTTGTAAATGATTTTAAATTTCCTTTCATCGTGGTGAGAGAGACACTTAATATAATTTCAGTTTTCTTAAATTTATTCAGGTTTTTTCTGTGTTCTAACATGTTCTCTGTCCTGGATAATGTTTCATGTACACTTGAAACATGGATATTCTGCTGCTTTGGGGGAAAATGCTTTAAAAATCCCAACTAAATCTATCTGATCTAATGTGTCATTTCAGGCTGCTTTTCCTTGTTGACTTTCTGTCTGGAAGATATATCTCTTGATATCAGTAGGATGTTAAAGACCCTTCCTATGCCTGTATTTTTGTCAGTCTCTCCCTTTTTGCCAGTTAATATTTGCTTTATATATGTAAGTGCTCCTATGTTGGGTGCATAAATATTTACAAAGGTCCTATCTTGTTGTAAAATTGATCCTTTTCTCATTATGAAATATCCTTCTTTATCTCTTGTTATAGCCTTTGTTTTAATGTCTATTTTGTCTGATATAAGTATTAGTACCTAAGGTTTTTGTTTATTTCCATTTGCATAAAATATTTTTCCTTTCTCTTTATTTTCATCTCTGTATTTCTTT